ACACTTGGATCAGGGAAAGTCGCAAGGTGACCAAAAATCTAGATAATTGATTCCGTTTTTGTTCGAGTATGTCATTACCTTCGTTTCGGTGATGACTAAGAAGATGATTTTCGTTCAGACCTTAATGGTTATAAAGAATCGAGTCCGATTAACATAAATCTGCGAAGTGAACCATGTCTTGTGTAGCGACGAAACTTCAGTCGGAAGATTGAAGAAGGAGATGGTGAGGCAGTCGATAAAAGTATAACAACCTTCATTAAGGGATTAAGCAACTAATAGCTAGAAATGCTACTAGTTATGAATATATAATATCACCATTTGTTTAAATCGTTATGATTTCGGGGACGAAATCCTCAAAAGGAGGAGATATTTGTAACATACACGTTCAGTTATCGTGTTATGTAATTTTAAAAAGTGAATAATATTAATAAAAATATTATGTGATTTTGCGCGTTGAGTTCTAAAAGATAGTTTTTACTAGAAATGAAGTAAAACTATGTTTAGAATCACTCAGAAAATATTGGAAGTCTTATGAGATTCCAATCAAAAGTCAAATATTGAAATTTAACAAAAATATAAAGTTGAAAATAAGTAAAATTATATTATTGAAAGTTGTAAAGAATCTCGTTAGAAACATTTAGGCGAAAACCTCATCTAAATCTGAGTTATAACGAAGAAGTTATGACTTAGGTGCTGTTTGTTTTTTCTGAGACAAAATGTCTGTAGTCTGCGGACCACATCTGTAGACCTCTGCAGTAGAAGAGGTGGACCAAACGTTTGCAGTCTGAAAAAAAAGACTGTTTGTTTTTTTAACATCTGCGGGCTATTAAAATAAACTGAAATCTAAATAAACTGATTTTTTTTAAACGTCAAAGTGATTTTTTAATATTTTTATGACTTTGTTATAAATAACTAACAAATCTAGATCAACTTTTATGTATTATTATATAAAAAATAAAAATAAAAATGATATGAATTAATGTATATATTTGATAAAAACCAGCAACTTTGGTTGCAAAGTTATAGCTAAACATTATAATTAGGGATCAAAGAATTTGATACATAAATGGATGGAAATAAACTTCGATTTTTTCAATTAAATCCATTAAAAACGTACCATAAATATTTTCCCGAGAAATTGACGATATTGTATTAAATAATGTTTTACAAAATTTGGAAAGAAATAGGGAAATCTCCGGAAAAGTCCCAATATTTTACCCTAATTTACGAAAAAGTCCCAAACTAAAATTTGTTTACCAAAAAGTCACAATTACCGGTAAAAACGACGATTTGGTCCTATTTTCCCGATTTACTGGTTTCATTAATTACCAGATTTTAATAAAGTCTCATTATTTTACAATAATTTATGAATAAGTCCCAAATTATGGTAAAATAATGAGACTTTAATGAAACCGGGTAAGTATTGAAACCGACAAACCAGAAAAAAGGGTCAAATCGTCATTTTTTCCTATAATCGGGACTTTTTCATAAACCAGTTTTAGATTGGGACTTTTTCGTAAATTAGGGTCAAATATTAGGACTTTTCCGAAGATTTCCCAAAAAAATATAAGAATATATTATGATTTTTTTTCATATTTATATAAACAACTTCAACAACTATTATTGTAATAAATATTTATTTATAAATTTGTCAAAAATATTATGTTTGTGTCGTCGAACGTTTTTTTTAGATATTGTAATTTTTTTCAAATTGTTTATTATTAATAAAGTTGGAAAAAATATAAATTTAAAAAAAAACTTAAAAAAATAAAGATATATGTGTTTTTTTAGTTTAGAAGATGTCTGAAGATGTTAGAAGACTCTGGCCCACATCTGTGCCAAGAAGAGGGGGCGCAGACATTTTTAGGTCTGCAGTCTTCAAAAAAACAAACAGTCTGCGAAGGCTAATGTCTACGCGTGGTCTGCGCGGCGCAGGCAGAAGAGGTCACGCAGATCTGCAGAAAAAAAAAACAACACCTTATTGAAGTTTCGCGACAGAACTGACACGACGCCGTATGACGTAAAAAGTGAGTTATCGATAAACTACTTTTTAGCTTTAGAGATCTAAACAAAAGTCGTAGTATTCGTTAAACCGGGAATTTTCAAAAAAAGAAAGTCCAAATCTGACTTCGTATGAGGAAGTTATGATTTTTCTAAGTTTCGGAATAGTAGCAGACAGCTAAAAACTCGAAATAAAGATCGGGTGATTTTTAGCCGACGCAACCTAAACGAGAATCGAAGGTCTCGTCAATAGTAGTACAACGGTAAAAAGACAAACGAAAACGGACATCGGATGAAGAAGTTATGAATTTTTAACAGACTTTTCCTGTCCCGACCCGTTAAAAATATAATATTAAAAATAAATTCAAAACTAGCCAACAGAGTCTAAACGAAAGTTGTAGAGCAGAATTTCAGCTACGCGTGGATATAAAGAACGTCAAAAACGGAGCTCGTATGCGAAAGTTACGAATTTTTGAAGTTTGGAAATTCGGAGTACGCCCAGCGTACTCGTGATCACGGTCCAAGATTGGCAACGTCGCCTATTCCTCGCAATCGACACGTATCACGCAGGTTCGACACATTTGATGCCACGCATCAGGGTACGCCCAACGTACTAAGCTGTACGCCTAGCTTAGTAGCTAAAAGAATAGTACGCCCAACGTACTTGAAGATTACGCCCAACGTAATTCGGGTTTCAGCCACTATAAATAGAAAGCAAAGCCTTCGGGTTTTTGTTTAGAAAATCTATTCCCTCTCACTCTCTACTCTCTTTTAAGCTGCTCTTAACCCCCAAGCCCCAGTATTATTCCCGACACCCGAAGCAAGTCCCGACACTCCGAAGTTCCCGAGAAAATCATATTTTCTAGCCGAAACTCTGCCCAAGTAAGGCCGGTTTTCAACTAAAATCCCCGATTTCGTCACAGAAAGTTATATTTAAAGTTGAAGTGCTGCCCAAATTAATACTTTCATCCCCGGTTATTTCACGGTGAGTTCAATATATAGGAACAATTGTATGTTATGTGTTATATGTGCTATGTGCTTTTCCGTGTTATCATCTCGTGTTATTATTTCCGCTATTATGGTAGCAAAGTTGTACCTTTGACCATGTGATCAGTGAAAGGACTTAGATTCACGGTGGTACTGGTATATAGCCTCTGGCCATGCACAACATGTCTCGTAAGAGAATGACTTCTATTCTATGGCATTGGCAGAAGGTTAGACAGGGCTGAAAGCCTGAAATCTACCAAAATGTTTAATCAGAAATTGTATGTCTTCTGTGCCATTTGGGCCGAAACGTTATTGATGTATATCAAGTATTGAAATTGTTATGTCTTATTGATTGATATGGAAAGCTTGTCGCATGATTCACATATGCCTTTTGTTGTTCCTTGCTCCCTTTGTTTCTGTCATATTGGTATATATATGGCATAACGTTATATTGTATCTATTATTGAACTCACTAAGCGTCACCGCTTACCCCTCTCAGTGTTTAACAATTGCAGGTAATGAGAATCCAGTATAGTCATATATTGTTGGAAGATTTAGAATAGTTTATACTATTACTTTTGTACTTGGGTTCACTACTAGAAAACAACCCTTTAATGACGCTCAAACAATGACACACAGTGATAGAGGACACGCATTTGTGCGTGCCCTAAAAACTAATGTCAGTTTTCCAAAATTTTTAAGGATAGAGGACACGCATTTTTGCGTGCCCTAAAATTAGTGTCAAAAATGAAAAAAAAAAGAAATGCGGAGGGCGCCTTTCATAAAATGTGTGTCATGTAAATGTGTCGCTTTATAATTTTTAAGTGAAACACGCGTTTTAGGCGGGAAATGAAATCGACGAAAATTACCCCCGCCTATTGGATCCCAAAAATTAAGCCCCCCCGCCTCTTCGACTTAGCAAGAAAAAGCCCTAGGGCCTTCATCTTCATCATCAGCAGTGGGAATACCTAGGTCGATTCTTCAAGGTTCAACAACAGATTTGTAAACAACAAAGGTATACGATTTTAGATCTCGGCATGATTATGGCGCTTTGGAGCCGGCGACGTGAACATCATTCGTGAGAAAAGTTCATACAAAACTCAAGAATTTCTATGGTATCGATTATTGAGTGACGTGTAATCGTTTTGGACTCTTTACTAATTGAGTTGAAATTGAACCCTAAAACCTTCCTCTACACCACCGCCTCATTACTCCATCCTTAAACGGGTTATGAAACTCGACAAAGATAACAACAAAATCAACACCGATGCCCTAATCTACTCACCGAGGTAGCTTCTTGATGGGTTTTGAGCATTCTAACACTCCTATGGTGTACATGCAACCCTATAAACCTTGAATCTATGTTTTCTCTAATATACATGCAAATTTGATTTTTCAAGGTTTACTTCCTAACTAGCATGGCATGGGGAATATGTAATATAAAACTAGTAGAAGTACATACCTTTCTTGTTGCTTGGATTCCTTGAAGACTTTGTGAGCCTAGCACCCCAAATGTTGTGCCTCAAATGCTTCACACAACACCACAAGACTTGGAATAACTTGAGAGAATTTCACTAACACTCAAAATCGGTTATGCCCTCTTAGAATCAACTAGTGTCCGATTTTGCTAGCTATAGGGTTCCTTTTATAGTGTTGTCACAATTAGGGTTTACACATGAATGCCCTTAATTGTCATGACTCTTGATTTCTAATGATCCATGGGTTTGTAACTCCCATATCCATGGAGCTCCAAATCACAATAAACCATGAATCATGAATCCACCATAAAAGATTAGATGATTGTCATAATCAACCCTATGTCATTTTGATCACCAAATTAATTCTAAATTAATAGTTGATCCATACTAATTAAATAATACTATTATTAATATATTAGAACTTACACACTATATCCAACACTTCTATCATTAAACATTCTCCGTTTCAGGGCTTCTTCTTCTACGTAATACGGTTGTTCGTGACCAGGCAAGAGATTACCATCACTCTACCCTCTTTAATCACAAGAAATTCCCATTTCCAGAACCTATTTGTAATTATCTGCAGGTCGATTTGGATCATATTTGATGTTTACCAGACGACGACACCGATTGCACCACCAATACACCTATGGTATGAATTTCGTTTTTCTTTTGGTAAGTTTTAACATAATTCAATGTTTTCATACAAATTTGATTTTCCGAAATTCATTCTACGGCATCACTACCACGCCACCAGCATTCCATAGTATCACCACCAGTGTCCGACATTTCTCTATATATTGGATTCAGGCTCTATTTTTGTGTTCCATTTCGTGAGCTACTTGAAAATTTAACATGATTTGGAAATAAGAATGAGATGTTTACTGTTATGGATGAAGTTATGGCTGCTGCCCACCAGGTATTTGACGAAATGCCTAGGTCTTTTTTTGGTTTTGTTATCATGGGCTTATCTGTATTTTATATTAGTTTGTTGGATAGATAAGATTCGTTAGTTTTCTAAATATCTGTTATCTCAACAAAATACTTTTTCATTCTGTTATAGTTAAAGTAGTCTTGGTTATGTTAGTAGTGATTGAAATCATGATAGCTTACCAAAAATGTCTGCAGTTGAACTCACGAAATTCTGAGGCTCTGTATGAACCTTCTTTAAAAGGTATTAACTTTTGTAACATTAGATGTTATACGATTTTCAGGTTTTACTATGTCATTTTATCAATTCATTTATTATTTGTTTCTTTTTCTGTAGATTCAAGAAAAATGGTGGCCTCACACGTTTGTGTAGTTTGTGTTTCAAATTCTGTTTGACTTTGTAACTTCGTGAAAAACTGGGGCCTAATTGATGTTTGTGAGAATGTTTTTTCTTTTTCTTTGAGTTCTATTTTCCTTTCAGCCTATTACAATTTTACATGGTTATTCAGTCTAAGTGTATCTTGCAAGGATTTGTGCATGATCTTAGCAAAATACATAATCTTAGCTATATGTAAATTTCGTTTTCGTTTTGCATGCCAGGTGTTCATGAAATGTCTGATTCAACGAATGATGTAAAATGAAGTTGAGATTCTGTAAGTTTCTTGAATATATCATTTCAGTTTGAACAAATTACAACCATTAAAATCATATATCAACTTTTCACTTGGCAATATTAGTGGCATATATGTAATATCTAATATTTCTAAGGGCACTTTCATTTATGCATTTTGACACTTTACCCATACAGGACTTAATTTGTTGTTTGGAATGTAGGGGTAAAATGGTCATTTAATAAGAAATTCTCAAGTGTGATTAAATATATGTTAGGTACCACGGCCTCTTCATGAAGGAATGATATATCTAAATAGTCATCATAAAAAGAAATTAAAAGAAGAATTTGGTAAGTTTTATATTTATGTTGCTTTTTTTGGATTTAATTGTAGAAATTTATGTGAGTTTATTTATTTATTTATCAGGTGTAGAGGCATGGTCATTTGATCAACATTTAGGAGTTGCTGTATTTATCCTAGCTCGATGTCCTTTTCAAATGAGGAATCTTCAGTTGAGTTGAAAGTCCTTTTCTCAGACAAATACTAAAAAATAAAAACTGTTTTTTTTAACAAATAAAATTATAAAAACTGATAATTGAGTTGTGTTGGCTTTTTGCAGTCAACGGTTGAGTTAGGGCTTGATTTCTTCTTCCCTGAAAGTCTAGCAGAAGTTGTATGATTAGGTGCAGAGATTCGTGAACTTCCTAATTACCATGATGCAAAGCTTCAAATTTTAGAGGTCAAACATCTTTTTTCCCATTATACCCTTGTGATTTCACTATTTACCTTTTTTTTAATTGTAATTTTGAATGATTGTAGGTTGGAAAGATTTCACTTTATGCAGCAAGTTCATCAATTAAGGAAGTTTAAAAACTGGTGTTGGATCCAAAGTAAGACACTCATATGAGAATCTCTTTTATTTATTTATTTATTTTAATTAATGTTTCTACTTTTTTATCTTTCTTTTTTCTTTTTCATTCTTTACAGCAGAATTCCATATTATCTAATAATCAGAAAATCAGGGCTTTATTAGTTTTACAGTTTACTTAGTGTCTATGTGGGGCTTATCACTTTTCCATAAAGGGGAAAGGATAATAAGAATATGCATATAATTTATTACAATTCTTTAATTTCGTTAATTTTGGTAGGCCCCATTGCCCAAAGTGTTACAATTTATTTATATCTGATGATGTTTTTTTTTGGTGCAGGCTTGGTGTTGAGCTGGCTTTTGAAGATCAAAATTTAACCGAATTGGTTTCAATGAATCTTGAGAAGTATATATTATATTATATTATATTAACTGGTATGCATAGTTTTCGCTGATTCTCTGTTATTTGTCTATAGACACAGCAAAGGGTATCTCCTCTGTTTTTTTTAATCGTTTAATATGTCGAAAAAAATACAGTAATGTCTTCTGATTGTTCTTCGTGCTTACAGAAGGTTATCTGAAACCTGCTTCTGTCGCGCCACCCGTTCATGGCTGTGATTTCTTGGTTTCTTCCATAAATTGTTTGTGATAGTTGTGAGTTAAGTTGAATATTATTATCTCATATAAATTTATGTTTTTTATCTCATTTCCTAAACTTCCATGTCATCCATACTTATTTTTTACTCTCAGATTATAATCAAATGATGGGTTGCAACAACAATTGAAGTCGTTAATTAGCATCATCTTCCATTACTTCAGCAATATGATAGTTTTAGGGAAGACTGAAGATATCAGACTTTGGCTGCTCTGTTAGGTCAAAAGACAAGAGACATATTGGTTTTTTTCTTCTCCTCCGTGCACCATAAATTAGGCTAACAGTGGATGCTCTCTACTTCTTTACCAGCTTTCTGTATATCATTTTGCATGTTCATTATTTTTTAAGCCAATATGTCATATGTTGCAGAGTATCATGATTGCCTAAATTAGAGCTTTGATTCTCGCACATTTCGTACATGGTTATGACAAAGTATGTAACAAGATCAGTTGTTCCATCCATATTGTATCCAATTTAGATTAGCCATCTCCTTCAATGATGTACAACCAATAAATTATCTTGGAGTATATGCTATAGCATTGTACTTTGCTTTGTTTCGGAAATAGAAATTCCTATTGGACCACTTCTATTTTTTTATCGTTATTATTCGTTTTTTTTTGGATTCCCATGATTACCTTCAACATTGTCTTTTCCCACAGTGACGCCATATTATATCCAAAATTCTGATTACAAAAATTCATGTTTTTCTTATAGGTATGAGTTGTTGAGTATGGTGAAGAAACATTCAAACTTAATAGGAAAAACTGTAGTAGATGAGCAACATACTTCATATGTTGAAATGGATCTAAAGTTTTGGCATGATGTTTTACATTTATATTTCATTGGTGAAAGGGACTGAAAAGAATAGTAGGATGATGATCTCTACGTGTTTGTTAGGAAAATGGTATTATTGCCTTCATCCCGTACACTCAAATATAAAAATGTTCCTTACTTTTTTGATGACCAGGCTTGCATGGATATGACTTCAATGATAAACTATTGCTGCATTTAGCTCAAGTAAAAGAACAGAAAGAATTGGTCTGTCAAAATGTCGTCTTCCCTTCAAAGACTAAGGGAAGCAGCTGAGAAAGCCAACATTGAAGGAAGGAAAATAAGTTGTTGACGAAATAACAAAACAATTTGGAGATGTTGTATGATTTGGAAAGTAATGGTTGGAATTAGTTATTCCATTCAGCCTATTTATTATTATTATTATTATTATTATTTTTTTGTAAAAGATGCTTGGGTGGCTTGGGGATTGTTGCAGGTCCGGTGGATATGGATGGACACATGTAAACCTTCATTAGATGGGCGCATGGGATGTCGGGATGAATGTCTTAATAGGATGTTGAATATAGAATGTGTAAGGGGAACATGCCCCTGTGGAGATTTGTGTTCAAATCAACAGGTTATTTATAATTAAAATTTTGAGTGTATGTGTTTGTTCGAAGAGGTTATGGCATATTGACATTAGCACCTTTTATATGATTTTGCAGTTTCAAAAACGCAAGTATTCCAAACTGAAATGTTTTCCATGTGGAAAGAAGGGGTTTGGGCTTCAGTTGCAAGAGGATATTCCCAAAGGAAGGTTCCTAATTGAATATGTGGGGGAGGTAACATGTCTACTTTTGTCATTTTTTGCATTTGGCACTATACAATAAGATTATGGAACCTTCTTGTTGCAAGATTCTCAGTTAATAGAATTGAGAATGTCATTAACTTGCTTATAATGCAAGTTATACAAATACAATTTCATTTTTTTTACATATTTTTTTGTAGGTGCTTGATATGCCTGCTTATAAGGCTTGACAAAAAGAATATGCTCGAAAGGGTCATAAGCATTTCTATTTCATGACATTGAATGGCAGTGAGGTTAGGAAAATATATAGTAGTAGTTAATATATTACATGACTTTTTCTTTTTGTTTTCTATCACTTTTATAAATTGTGGTCTAGAAAATATATAGTAGTTAATATATTACATGACTTTTAGGGATTGGGACAAGAATAATAACAGACAAAAAGACTATTATGCCCCTTTAGTAATATATTGAAACAATTGTACATTTCTTTTATGGTTTGGTAGTTTCAGCTTTTTACTTTTAAAGAATTACATTTCTAAAAATTGTGGTCTAGCATTTTTCTTAAGGCAAGATGCTATTTTGGCTACTGAAATTAAGCACAAGGTACAACCAACATTCAAGATTCTTATTTCAGATCAGATCAAAAATTCAAAATATATTTATGTGTCTTTGTTATACATACAAATTAGGAAGGTAGATCCGACTTTGGACATGGAGGCTGATGATTGATGAAGGAGACAATTACACACATATTCCAGTAAGAAACAGAGTTGGATGATTATTTGTTAGCTTTATAGGAATGTATAACCCATGTTAGCAATGTATTATTTTTGTTTAACATTTGAATGATTATTTGTATGACATATTATAATTTGTGTAATTTATTTTATTTTTTGTGTATGAATTTTTATTTTATATTATGCAATGGATTGTATTTTTTGTATATGGTATTTATTTCTATTACGAGACATTAAATGCAAATTTAATTTAAAAATTAATAAATATATAAATATATTTTTTTAACATTTAAATTTACGATACGCAAATATGTGTGTCATCTTCGTTTATGACATGGCCTTTCTTGACAGGGGTTTTAATGATACGCATTGCGTGTCATAAATGCATGTCGTAAATGTGTGTCGTCTATAGACGACGCGCAAAAGCGTGTCGTCTCTCGTTATGACAGGGCCTTCCTTGACACACATTTGCGCGTCGTCTGAGCATTTTACGACACGCATTGCGCGTCGTAAAAGGCTGTTTTTCTAGTAGTGGTTTACGTATGTATAAAACTATATTATCCTAGGTAGTTATGTAATAAGTATAACACTTTGTAATATACTAAAACTTAGTCGGTTTGTATCCAGTCTTTTGTAACCACATTATCAATGTAAAATAATATTTATAAATATGCATGTAGCATGTTTTGGAGTAACAATATTGTGAAGTATGAAAGTTTGGGTGTTTTAGAAATACGAAAGTTAGGGTCCTTTCATGTTTATATAACCATTTTTTATAATAAGATCAAATATTTCATAAATAACATTCTACATAATTTACTAACCTTATAAATCATTATTACCATTTTTGTGGTTATTTCACAATTTTTATAATATTAGTAAAGTAGATTGTCATTTTGTGTATAAACACTTAAAAATCATCAAACTTGATAAGCATGCATATATTCTCCCCCAAATATGAAAAACCGTAAAATAGGGGCCGTAGAAACTCACCCTTGAAGCGTGAGCTCGATTTGTCTGCAGTTGATCTATTTTTGTGAAGTTAGATGTGAGAAACCGTAATTTGACAATTCTCGAACTTTGAAATGCTTTTGGGATTATTTTGTAATAAATCAAAATAAAGGGTTTATTTTTGAAATGATTTAAGTCAAAATGGCTGTTTTAAATCTTGTAAAACGACTGGAAGGGATGATTTGGTCAATAACTACCAAACAAAGGTTTGTTGATAATACAATAAGGGGTTGTTCTTGTTAAACTAATTAAGCAAAGAGGTTGTTTGGTCATATTAACACAAAGAAGGTTGACTTTGATCTTTTAATATAAGTGGGGGACTGATCTGGTCAAAATAGACCAACATAATTGATACAGGGGCCTTTTCGTCTCCTTCAGATCGAGGAAGTGAAAACACATAGGCGGATCAGGGGTGGATTGGTTTTGACCAAATCAGCCCTTTGTCTTCATCAGATCGAAAGAGAAGAAAAACAAATTTTTTTTCCATTTGGTATCTGAGCGAATCATCTGTTTTTTCAATTTGCTCTGCTATAACAGAGGGCTCTGCTATTCAGAAATAGAACAACTATTTCAACAGAGGAAGAACTTTGAGATCAACTCAAGTCTTAAAACTCTCAAACTTATCTTGTTTATTCCATATGGGCAAATGCCCTATTTATAGGCTCAAGAGAGCCGGTTACATAATTGAATTGCAATCGTATGATTGCAATACGACAAACATATTTACAATATAGCCCCCTATACTATGGAGGGTTACACACTTTATCTCACATCTTACAAAC